TATTTATCGTCAAAATGTTGTTTTCATCATCCTTTACGGTGTTTCAGCCGCCGTAACACTATGGTCTCAAGTTGTTTCGAGATCACTTTGAGGTTTGTACAGATTTTATTTGCCTATTTGATCGTTTATTAATGCAGTACCGTAGAAACTTGCTGGATCGTTCGTTTTGTTAATATTCTGGGGTTTACTGTCGGCTATGCGTTACTCGTTGATCTATCTTGGAGGCACTATACTCAGAAATAGCACATCTTCTGGGTTGTATGGCGTTTACTCACTGAAAGTTTTCCGCGTATCGCACGGTATCGCAAACCATAGTTTATGTTAGCGTGACACTTACCCAGTGTTGCACGCTACATGAACTTGCGATTGTAGATGTGTGAGGGACGCCTACGGGTCCGCTGTCATAAACTTTGTTCCGCTGACCAAAGTGTTTTGCTTTAGGTTGAATACCTATGCTCGGGGCTAGCCATAATATAGCATGAATATGTGATATGAGTTTGCGAAACCGATCACAAAAATATGATAAGATAGCATCTAGGAAAAAAATACGTTTTAAAAACAAAAATCCAAATCGAATCCGAGATGATCTTTGAACCGCAGTCTAGGAATAAATATGATCTTCAAATTTGTGTGTATAATACAGATCCATTAAAAATTGTACGGGTAAAACACTCCAACCAAAAAGAGGTGGCGTTGACATGGTAAAACAATGAGACACAGAGGAGGAATGATAAATGCAGGAAAGAAGGTAGTTCGTATCACTATTTGGTCGGCCCTACAACAGCAGTTGGGCGTCGCCCCACCACATGGTCCCCATAAATTACTCGACAGATTGGCGTCCGTGTGGTGATTATCGTGTTCTCAACGTGTTTACTATCTACGTCCGCTACCCTACCCAGTACATCCACCACTTCACAGCATGTGTACATGGCAAAACTTTCTTTTCTTAACTTGGCTTAGTGCGTGTTTATCACCAGATACCAGCTGAACCATCTGATATTCCAACGTCTGCGGTGATCACGCCATTTGGTTCCTTTGAGTTTCTTTGCATGCCCTTTACTTTGCGAAATGCTTCTCCAACCTTCCAGCGCTTCATTGAAAAATTTTGGATGGTCGGATTTTATTTTAGTCTACCTTGATGATATCCACATTGTCAGCAACAATGAAGCTGAACATCTCACTCACTTATGTCTTGTCTTCGATAAGATCCGTCTTTATGGCATCACCATCAATCCAGAAAAGTGCGAGGTCGACCGCACCTCCCTGATCTTTCTTTGGCACACTATAGACCGAAGAGGTGTTCGTTCTGTGGAATCCAAAGTTGATAACATACGTCGGATTAGGATTTGCGACGTTTTCTGTGGTTAGTGAATTTTACCGTCGTTTTATCTCGCTTTGTGCTCAAAGTTGTTAGTCTATGGCCGATCTATTTCGTGGTGACCCTAAATCAGCAACTTTTAATAACGCTTCCCTCCAGACCTCCAATGCCATTTAAGAGGTACTTTCACAAGTCGCACTTCTAGCTTACCACTCTCCAAACTCACCTGTTAGCCTGGTTGTCGCTGCTTCCAAAGTTGCCACAGGTGTTGTCCTTTACCAACTCCTTGATCATGAGTGGCGGCTTTTAGCTTTCTTTTCTCTTGGCTCATCGGAAGGCACACAGCGCTGTAGCACTATCTGCGTGAGCTGCTGGCTATGTATCTTGCTGTGAGTCACTTCCGACACACCCTTGAATGACGTGGTTTCAATATTTTCACCAACTGCAAACCTTTAACTTTTGCCCTGAAATGGGATAATGTTAAGTACTCACCCCGAAAGTTCACCAGTTAGACTGTCTTTCGGTTCACAACTGATATAAGACATTTCTGGTGCTACAAACGTCGTGGCTGATGCCTTGTCAGGATTCACATTGGTTTCCGAGTTACCGGTCATCGACCTAGAACGTATTGCAGTTCTTCAATCAGCTGTCCCACCTTCAGTCCTGTCTTCGACATTGAAGGTAGAGGGTAGGTTGCACGTTTAAGCATCATCACCACTGGGTCGAAAGTTTGATCACAAGTGTTGGTTCCTTCACAGCCCCTTCTGGTGCTCATCCAGACACCGTTTGAAAGCAGCGTCTGTCTTCTCCTCCACCACGATAGCTGGAAGGGAATTCCAGAGTGTTATTGGCCAAATTACTGAAGTGCCGCAACGTGAGAGTGCCATTGCGTGCAGTTCTCTTTCCGTAAAGGGAAACACTGTTGCAGCTTCGGGCCCATATTACCTCTCAGCATCTTTCTCAGACAGATGAGATCTCCTCTGAGGCGCTAATACGCAACTGGGAACTGACCAGTAGCCTGTAGACGACCTTCATAGTTGGTCCCGCGAAGTTCAACTACGAGTCTAATAGCAGCAGGTTGAACACGCTCCAACTTAGCCAGTTCATCGGCCGTGCAGGGGCATGTCGCCGCATCACCATACTCAAGTCTTGGTTTGACATGGAAAGCGTACAGCAGTCTGAAAGCGTCCATCGTGAGCTGGTTGAAAGACCACCGAATAAACCTCAGAATACTCCATGCGCTGTCCCAGACTCGATTGCTGTTTTCCCGGGTCTTTAGTGATGACGTAACCATAACTCCCACGTCTCTTTCGCACGATGTTCTGCGCAGTGGTTCCCTGGAGGTTGTAGACTACCTCTGAGTAAGCACGCCCGAAGTGCAGGTGAGCACACTTTGCGGAGTTGACTGGGATAACTCAGTTGTCCGCCCAGTAAGCCAGATTGTTCAAATTAACTTGAAAAGAACTTCGATCATTTCGATCCTCGATTGTACGCCGGATTCTGGTGTCATCCGCATACATGAGAGATAGGCTGTGTAGTTGACCGAGTAGTTCTTCATATAAACCACAAAGGGCAATGGATCGAGAACCGAGCCTTAAGGGACCCCACTGGGAGCGGAATATCACGCAAGCAGCGATTTTCCAACTTTGACGCGGAATTTCCATTCAGTCAGTTTACACAGGACAGGAGATGGCCGCGGCCAATCGAGCGTCCAGAATTCCTTCGGTGGTAAGCCACGTTTGACACCTATCACCGTGAGTGTTCTATATTGTAGTTTTTCGCGTTTTCTTCTCGTCCCAATCGTCTCCACCTCTGCAGGGGAAGAGAAAAAAAATACCTCCCTTTGTTCAGGCCGGAGACCTCACAATTGAAAGCCCTCCCCTATTTGGGGTGGTTAGCATATGAGAAAACCTATAACTTCTTCCAGCTCTTAACCAATGCGTCTACTTTAGGAAATAAGTTCAGCCAGCACTTATCGAGCTCCTTCTTGAAAGCAAGTGCGCTCCCTGGCTCCATCAGCTCTTGTGGTAACTTATTCCATGAGTTGACTACCATGTTGCTGAATAAGTTTGAACGCACCGCCAGTCTCGTGTGCACTTTCCTCAGTTTGTGCATGTGCCCCCTAGTATTAATTTCCATCCTGTCGAAGAACGCTGCTTGATCCGTCCTTGATAGACCATTTATAATTTTGAATGTCTCTATCAAGTCACCCCGGAGTCTTTTTCTCTTCAAGGAGAAGAGACCAAGGTCCTGCAGTCTCTGCTTATACGATTTCCCTCGTTGTTCTTCGATCATCATTGTAACTAATCATTGGACCCCCTCAAAACAAGCGGCGTCCTTTTTGAAGAAGGGAGCCTAGGCTTGCATACAATACTCCATATGCGGTCGAACAATGGCCTTTTATGGAGATACGAATACCTCCAATTTCCTACATGTTAGTGCCTAATTCAATCTAAAATCTCTCGACGGGCACGTGAGCCGCTGCGGCACGCTGTTCTTCTCATTTTTAGTCTGCTGCCACTACGATTTCTAAATCTGTAGCTTTCTGTCTCGTTCCCGGTGAAAGACCGCCATGACTACTCTCTACCATCAGCCCCTCATCTTCAGTGGTCAAGACATGACTCTTTCCTATGTTGAGAGGTAGGTCCCATGTACTTGCTCACTTGAGTAATTCTCCTATGTCCCTCCCTAGCTCCGCTCTCCCATTTGATCCTACCACCTTGACGTCGTCCACGAATATCTAGTTAGGCGNGGCAGATCATCTATGTAGAGCATGAACGGGAATGAACCTAGAACTGATCCCCGAGGAACACCACTAGCACTAGTTTCCATCGGCCAGTTCGCTTATCCGACCCGAACCAGGAAGGTCCTATTGGCCAGGAAAGCTGTTAGCCACTTGTGGATGTTACCCCTTATCCCTAGAGCATGCATCTTGGCCAAAAGTAAGCGATGACATACTGAGTCAAATGCTTTGCTGAAGACCAGATAGCATACTTCCACTTGCTTACCCTCGTCTATTCTCGCTGTGGCTTCATTTTAAAAGTGCGAGAGATTGCTTAGGCAAGAGTTTCCCTTCAGAAACCCATGCTGTGCCACAATCAGCAAGCGGTGCTGAGTGAGGTATTCGCATAAGTGAGTTCTGATTATTCTCTCTTGGGTTTTGCACAAGATGCTTTCGGGATAACCAGTCCAGCGGTGCGGAGGTCAGGTTGTGCAGTGCCGATTTGGTCTATCTTATGTACACTTCTGAAGTATTCTTTTAGTCGCACTGCTATATGCATTTCACGGGTTACTACTTCTCCATCATCTAATATCAGAGGCCCTACCTTTTCACTGAGCCCTCCCTTATATTGGACATAACGATAGTAACTCTTTGGTTGGTATTTGGCACAATTTACCAACTTGAGCTCATATCGCCGTTTGAGCTCGTGCTGGATTCCAACTGCTTTTTTTCTATCCCTAGTGTATTGCGGCCAGGATCGGTGGCTGCCCTTTGAATTATAAGTTTGCCAGCTCCTATTTCTACGCTGTATTGCTCTTCTAATCGCTGGGCTCCACCAGGGTGGTTTGCTCTTCAGTGCTCTGGGTTTTAGGGGAACGAAGTCATCCTACAGAAGCAAGAGATTTGCTTTGATCAGGCTCCAATGCTGATCAACGGATTCGTCTTCGTGAATAAGACCCCACACCAGCTCTGCAGCTTGGGCCTTCAGCTTTTTCGCATCTATCGTCCAGTAGTACCTGGAAATCGTAGCATTACTAACGTGAGATGCTCCAAGGTGTCCTCTATTACTACCACATTCGGGTTTTCTAAGACCCGGTGTTCCCTAGAGCTCTTCTTCTAGCCTATCTCTATTCCCATGTAAGGGAATATTTCTACCTGCTCCATGTTTGGACCCGCGGTGTGGCTTGGGATGGTTAGCACCCTGACGTACCTTGGGGTTGACCACAGGTAGTGGCTTTTGCAATGGTATGAATACCTTTGCTGCCTTCCAAGTCTTCGGCAAAACCGTTTGCCAAGAACTCTCTCCCTGCGATTTTCTCTTTCCCTAAATGTAGGCGACCTGAGCGTAAGTGCTCAAGATTCCTCTGGGTATTTCCGACATTTTTGGGCTCTCAAGACGCTCATTGCTCGGTTTGCCTCTGGCCTCTGATTTCCGCTACGCAAACGCAGACCTAGCCGTGTCCCTACACTGCTGAAACATCCACTCTATCCAGCTACTAGCGCAAAAAAATGCATAGTTGTCTTTGCTAATACCGAAAAAAATAGAATGTGCCCGCCTTTTGTAGGCTTCGCATTCGATTCCCTTGACCACCTTCTTCCCGCAGCTATCCTTTAAACATGGATAGAACAC